AGCCGACGTTCCCAGCATAGAGTCGGTGATCCTCAAGCACCAGCTTCACTGGGCTGGACATTGTGGGCGCCTATACACATGCGGCGAGGCTGCTCTGATGCACTGTCAGTGCAGCACGTCGGAGCAGACTCAATTAATCGAGCATGGTCATTACTGTGCTCCAGCAGACTCCAGCGTCACATGATGAGCTATAGTTAGAGCATCCCCCGCCACTGTTTTTCAGTGCAGGGATGCTCATACACATGATGCTCTGGGCCCTTTAATTAAAGCACCCCCCACTGTACTCCCAGAGCATGTCTGTGTGTGGATGCCTGACTCTCGACTCCTAAAACAAGTGCTCTGTTCCCAACTTAGTAACAGCCTGAGATCTCCCAGTGGCCAGAGGAGACACTACAAGGACACACTGAAGGTATCCCTCGAGAAAACAGATGTCAACATCAAGAGGTGAGAGGAGCTGGCTGCCAGCCAACCCCAGTGGTGCCAAAACCTCACCCAAGTGCAGTCCATTTTGAGGCAGAGCATCTTGTCCTCAAAGCAGAGAAGAGAGAGCAGAGGAAGGAAAAGGAGAAGAATCCCCCCTGCAGCCTACTCTGCCCTACAGAGAGACCTACACTGTCTGCAAATGATCCTTGGACTCAAGTCACTTTAACACCCATGGCCCATGACAATGAGCCATGGTAGAGATCATCCTTGAATTGAGGGATTGCTGATGAAAACACATTTTCTCTCTCAAGCAGTGGGAAAGCAAGGGGTAGGAGAGTGATGGTGGGGGGCATCGGTGGGGAGAGAGGCCCGGTATGACACTGTTCTTTGCCACCCCCTGGCCTGGAAGATGGGGGTAAGCTGTGCTGCAGCAAGAGGAGAGGTGCTTCTCAGATCCTGCTTTTCCAAGACAAGTTCCCCAGTGACTCAGTCATTCAGGAACAGAGGAAGGAAAGAAGAATGAAATGCCTCGAGTCTGCAGACATGAGCCTATGTCTTGTCCATGCTCACCGCAGGGCAGAGGTAAGTGGCTTCCCAGAGAGGAGGAGTGAGGGGCACATGTCCATTAGAAATACGCAGTCCACAAGATGCACTAAACTGCTGGTGCAGCTTTCTTGTGCCCCAAGCATGGAGGTCCCTGTGCCACGTGCATCATCAGCCAGTCCACGGGGCGGCCCTCACATTCCTTCCATCTGCAGGGTGCTGCCTGCATCTGCACGAGATATGGCATCGCCTCCATTGCTTTGTGGGTAGCCCTAGAAACAAACAGAGATCTTGCTGGCAGGCTGTCGTGATTGCAGTCCTGTCCTGTTTGGACCCATTGGTGCCTCTGGCTGCTGGCAAGGTCACTGGGTGAGGCCCGACCCTCTGCTCAGTGTTTTGATCAGTGTGTCCTTATCTTCGTGAGGCTCAGAGCAGAGCATTTGATAGCAGGCTTACGGGGCCCTTGACACCAGACAGATCTGTCTGGTGCCAGTGCCCTGCTCAGCACATCCAATCCTGAATCCAGTGAAGACACAGGCAGCTTCTCATATTAGCACACATAACATTTCACAGTTGTCCGGGCTTTGCTGAGCAGTGCTGAGAGCGGAGAGCTGGGTGGACAGGCTGGTGACCTGCCTTCCCTGGCTTGCTCAGGGAAGGGTGATGCTGTCGGGGGCTGGAGCCTGAGACCTGGAATCAGAATGAAGTTACACATCACATTTAGACCATACTAGGGTCGCTTAAAATGCAAGTGTCCAGATGTTAAAGCTCGCTAAATCCTGCTAGGCGCAATCTGAGCATCTCAAATTAGCCACTTCAGGCAAGGATTAACTTTGGGCCATGCTACCCAGAGTACTTTAGTCTGCTTCATGAAGTGACCAATATGCAGCCCTCCAGTATCCCAGGATGCATTGCTTTCAGCCCACCACCCCACAAGCCAGGTGGCCGGGATAGAGCCCAGGTGGCCTGGCTTGAGCCAAGCCCCTGCTTGCCAACCCTGTAGTGGCAAGTCAAAGCAGGCAAGAAGTGGTATTAACCCTTAATATGTGACTGCTCACAGCACTTTCTAACTTTAACATCGATTAAAATTGCACAAACTTCATCTGGTCGAAGTGTAACGTGTAACCTCACCCTCCGAGAAGTGTCCTGTAGTTGCCCCAGCAGACAGAGGCAAGTGCTGAGTGGCAGAGGAGGCATCACTAAGGTCCTGCCAGGAAGTGCCCTGAAACAGCCCATTACCTGCCATGGGGTTGGCTGATGAAGAAGACCCAGTGCCCTGGTTAACAGGTTGTAGAGCCTCCTGCTCACTTCTCCAGCCCCTCCACAACCCCCAGCCTCCCGCTACATCCTCCTGCTTTGAGCAAGGCCACCTGGACTCCAGAGAGCTTCCTGAGCTGCATCCAGGCCCCACAACAAGGGGAGGTAGGGAAGGCTGCAGCCAGCCAACTTAGAGGGACTTGATGCCTATTCTGGTGGAGAAGGGGGCAGCCTTGAGCCAACTGAGCAAGCAGGAGTCAACCTTGAGGCTTGCCATGGCTATCGCAAGCCTTTGACGGCCAGGAGAAGGCTGTACTGTACTGCTTCACCAAGAGCATCTGCTCCCAGATCCCTCCCTGTGACTCCTTTGGAAAGCTTATGGGAGGGGCAGGAGAGTGTGTTTGGGATTATCTGGGCAGGAGGGTGAGGTTCACACACATGGCTTGGGTTGGGTTGAATTCGCGCAGAGATAGGTGCACTGGCTTTTGAAGTAATGGAAGGACTCTTGGCATCAGCCCGTGTCCTGGCAGACGGTTGTATATCACAAAGGTGGAGCTGCTACCAAAGCTAACAGGCCCCTGTGCTGATGCTGTAGAATTGGACGGAGGAGGCAGACCAGGGAGGTTGGTCCCTCTCGCCCTCTTGGTCTTCAGCGTGTTCATTCCCCTGGCCGCGGCCTCAGAGCTCGCAAGGTGGGCCTAGGCTCAGGGTCAGTGTTGTCCCTGCTGCAGATGGGGATGAGGAGCAGGGCTTGACTGACTCTGGAGTGGGACTTCTAGCTCTTCAGGTGAGGGGAACACAGTGCTTGGGGGGACCTCCTGGACCACCGAGTCCTGCTTCCCCTGCCATTCCTGCCACCATTTACACTCCTGTCCATAAACTGAGAGCACTTCAAGTAGACTGGAGCAATGGAGAGAAATGTGGGAATGGGGTTATTCATCTTCCATGCGCGCTTTACACAAAGAAAACTTCTTTGTAAAATACTCCACGTATGGTAGCTGTCTCCAAGTAGGATCCAACACGTTTCTTCTAACAGAGATGTATCAGGCAGGAGAGGCTGCAGAGACAGAGGCTTTATTTCCCAGATGTGGTGGCTATGTCCAGAGGTCCAAATATCCTGTTGGAGGGAGTCATCAGAATAATAGCTATTATGGATTGGGTGGTAATATCCCTTTGGATCTGCTGGTTTGTCTATTGAAAGCCCTGGTCAAGGAAGTTTGCTTTGTACAAGGGGACTGGACCCGATGATCTTCCGAGGTCCCTTCCAGCCTTACAATCTATGAAAAGCTGGTACACTTCTTGTTTTAGCTGCCCGACTGTGTGTGGCTCAAACGTGGAAGGAACACACGCATGTATCGACTGACAATGTAGTATGCTAAAATATGGGCGATCCCGATGACGGGGAAATGGTCCCATCAGATTAGCTTATTAGAAAAGAGCCCAAACAGGGATAGATATTGAGAAATAGAGATTCTTTTCCTGGCTTACACAGAAGACAAAAATTCAGCAGCTTGTCAGCCAGAGTCTTTAGCCACGTTTCTTTGCATATTCATGAATATTCGTGAATGTTATTTTTTTATATATCTGTACATATATACATACATAGATGATGAGTTGTGTGAATTGTTGTATATTATTTCCTTTGTAAAGATATAACAACTTCAACCTCCTGCAATTCCTGTGTATTACTCCTGTGTTGGAGTTTTGTTTCAGTGGTTGCCTGAATAAAAAAAAAGCCATTATCAAAACAAACTCATGGAGCTCCAAGAGAGTTTTGTTTTACCTTAAGGTCACTGAGCTCTTCCTCTTGCTCCCTTCTCTGACATAACCCATTGTCTAGGAAAAGCCCCATGCTTTATGTCTTGGGCTAACTGGAGTGTGACCTGTTGGGCTGTGCGCTCTGAATGGCGTTAGAGCAAAGAGAGAGCTGATTACCTGCCTCCTGTAGACCTGGGCTAGCCCCGGAGGAAATAATCCAGAAGTGCGGCTACAAAGAGCAGATCATCACAGATCTGTCTGGCCTTTCCATCTCTGCTACCCAGGAGCCCTGTGGGTGGCAGGGGCACAGCGCATTCTTCCACTCTATTTTAGGAGGGGGCTCAATTGGTTTATGACAGGCATGTGATGGTTTGCAATAGTTTTGATGACCCAGAGGGTCCCGTCCAGTGTCCCTATGTGAATCTCATGGGTTCAAGTGAAATTCTTCCTGTAACAGCCGGATGCATCTTGGTAGGTACAAGGAGTTTCCCAGGAACACAGCAGGCCAAACAGCCTTTGAGTAAGGTGGGTATTTGGGGATGCTTAGAATAACACTGTTTAGACCAGCCTTGTGCCGAAAGTGTATCAGACCTGTATGAAACCTGCACGTCTCCCCTTTATTATAAGGATTATAACAGGGTGGGGGGAAGTGTCCACGATACCAGTTAAACTGCATCCCCTGGTAAGTAGCATGGCAAATTGCAAACCTCCCCAGGTGGGATTCATTCTTGTGAAGGGCTCCAGGCCTTGCTGAAAAGAAAAGCACATCATATGTGTCTTCAACAACATAGGGATATTTGCAAAGGCCGTGCTTGCTGTATACAGCCTCAATGGCACACAATGACTGAGAGGTATCAATGCACACAGTGGCCTTGTATGTTGTTCTGCCCCGCACATGCCCATGGCAACACAGCAGAGAAGGAGCCCACACGTGTACAAGGGCCCGTGCTCTGGACTGGGGGTCTTAGTTAATGATATGAAAGTTTCTGATCTCTAGTTTGCATTGATCTTGCGTTTAGACACAGAGTCAGAAGAACAGACCCTCCCTTTTCCAGTGCCTTTGGAAAGATCTTTGGAAAGGTCGCAGCTCCGTAGAATGAGTCCTTTCTCCTCCACTCTTAATCTACAACCCAGCTTCTCGGGGAGATCCTACTTTGAGCTAAGATCTTCGTCCCACCAGCTGAGCTTGCATTCTTCTTTACAGTCTCTGAATTCAGCCGGTGAGCCGAGCCCCTCTGGCATTTCCTCTTGATCTGTGCTTTTGGGCATCTCCAAAGCATCTGTTTGTTTTGCTTTGTTTTTTTTCCCCATGACATTCATATGCCAGGGGGGTAAGTCGTTCTGTTTGTCAGTGGCCTGTTTCCGATGTGAAGGGAATTTGGATGATGTAGCTATGTGGCGTATCTCTGTTTCTATGTAACAACGGTACCAGTTTAGATGTCATTTCGCCCCCCCCTACCTACCCCGCCAGGGCAAACCCGGGGTCAGGATAACAGCTGTTATAACCAGGGGAAGAGGCATCCTGGGATTTCAGCTGGAGCACTGGTGCATCCTTCTGGGAGATATCCATGGAGGTGTTTCAAAGGTTTGCGTGCTCAGCACATCCAGGAGGGTCAGCCACTGCTGTCAGATGGTTGCAGAGCATTTGCATTAAACCATGACCCCACAACATCTATCTATCTATCTATCTAGATATAGATATATGTAGTTATATCTATCCATCTACCTATCTATCTATCTGTATAAATATAGGTATATATATCTATCTATCTATAGAGATATATATAGTTATATCTATCTACCTACCTATATAGATATATACTTATAGATATCTATGTATCTAGATATAGATATATATAGTTATATCTATCTACCTAGCTATATAGATAGATAAATAGATAGATACAGTTATAGATAGATAGACAGATAGATAGACAGATAGATAGATTTAGGACCCCCAAAGCCCAGCTCAGACTGAATGGATCTGGTGTGCGGAGGCCAGAGCCTCCTTTTTTGAGGGCACCATGCTTCTGTAGCTCCTGCTGACTTAAATTGGAGTTGGGGGAGCCCAGCCTTTGTGGAGCAGGACGTGGGATAGTTAATCCTCTTTTTCTTCAGAGCAGTGGAAACTACCTGGAGGAAACTCTCAGCCGCGCTTTGAACGGTCGGTTGCAATCAGCCCCCAGGTCCCTGCCGGCCTCCGTGCTTCGGGGCTGAGCGGGCTGTGGCTGAGCGGTAGGTTGCTTCCTTGGGCAAAGCACAGCCAGAGTGAAGGTACTTCGCCCTGCCGCGGGCAGCAGCCGGCAAAGGAGCAGGAGGCAGGGCTGATCTCCCCAGAGCTCTGCGGCAACCGTGGAGAACAATTATTGCGCGCTTCTTCCTGCCAAAGATGCCGGGGCTGATCCTCCCGTCGTGCTGTGTTCACACCACGGCCACTCCATTGGACTCCGCACCGTAATTCACAGCTTACACCAGTGTAAGCAAGGGGAGAACGGGGTCCCCTTGGTTTTGATTTCCATCCCATCCCTTGGAATGAGGAATGCTGCAGCATGGCGTTTCCAACACACACAGGGGCTGCCACCCCTACCAGCAATGGGTTTTTTTATTTCTTTTTTCCTTTGTGCTTCCATGTTTCTCATTGTACTGCTGTGCACTGCTGGCTTCTTAACTATGTTTTGTTATTGGACGTGTTGACTCTGTCTCCAGTGTACCAAGACCGACTGTATTGGCTTTGATCAAATACTTTGTTTGTGGACTGTGTATTTCTGTAACAACAGTCTGGGGAGAGGGCGGGGGGGTGACGGGCTGGGATTTTACGACTGTGTCCTACTAGAGATAAATGTGTTGTGTGGCAAAGCACAGAGACCTCTTTCCAAAGAGGGTGCAGGGCACGATTCATTAAAAAGGCCTCGGCAGACATTGCGTCACTTCGTACAGCTGCGAAGAGCTCAAAGGCGGCAGGCGATATGCTTGGCCAGGACGACACTAATGTGTCCGAGAGCTGGATGCAAATGTGCTGTAAGAAAATGGCACAGAGCACACGTCTCCTTATTCTGCCTACAGGTAGACACAAAAGCAGCCGCAGAACCATGCTGCGCCTCCTAAAACAGAGTGGGAACAAGGCTGTCTCGTACTGGCTTCTCCTTCCATCGCCAGTTCCTCCCCTTCCCTGCAGGCTTTCTCTGCAATAATAAGAGAAGAGGTGCTAAGCGGGAGGTTGCAATAACTTCTTTACAAGCTGAGACACTTTGCAAATGCTCTGGGTCTGATTTGCAGGTGCAGGGCAGCCCCCCTGCCCCATGCCGCTGGCAGAGATATTGCACAGTTAGCATAAGCGTTTCAGGTCGTCCGTTCCAACATGACCTTTGACGGCTAATAGTGAATGCAGTGTTTCACATTTCCCTTTCTGCTGCTGTCAGTGAAGGGGTCTTGGCAGACCCAAGGGTCTTACATCTTGGCAAGACTTTCCTGGTGAATCCCTACATGATGCAGCATGGGAACTGTGCAAAGAGGTCTGTATGCAGCCCCGTCTCACCGTGCCCTGTGAAACCTATAATCTTTATGAGCATCAAACACCCTCAGTAAATGCTCACAGTAATATCAATTCATGATGCTTGCTTAGCTCTACTTCAGGGGCCCCTTAGCCCCATTGCTCTTAAAATACGATGGGAGCTAAAGTACCGTGCTATAGCTACGTAAACCCCACCGACGAAGACATGAAAAGTCTTAAAGCATTATGACAGCCTTAATCCACGCGTTCCTTTTTTATATGGATATAAGGTGGGGGTGGGTTTTGCACAGAAGAACGAGATCTGGGTTCCATTTTGCTGGAGAAAACGCTCTTGAAATCAAAATCTACCCTTCTCACATTGATTTCTTTCCATAGGGAGTGGTGGGAAGTATTTTGGAGCAGTGGAGATGAAAAGATTTTACTGAACGGCAAAATTGCTTGCTTTGCACTGCCAAAGGACCGTGTTCCCTTTTCCAGTGCAGAGGACAAAAGACGAGGACCCAGTGGCAATAGAGGCCAGGATGTTCCAAAGTGTCACATAATTTGGGATAGGAGTTTGGGCGCCAGCCTTGATCCATCTGGAAGGTGCCCATTTGTGGGTATGGGCTGAGGCTTCCTGGAAGTCAGGCCTTTGCAAAAGTCTTTAGCTAGGCACTTAAAATGGGCAGTCATTTTGAAAACCTTTGGTCTTTGGCTTTTAATGAATCAGTCCTGCAGTGGTGAAGCAAATGGGTAATTCTGTACATGTGTGTGCACTTGTGTTCATGAGACCAGTTGCTGTTTCTTAGCTTTGATGTGTGAAATATAGTATCTCTTTATAGGATGCAATTTTGAGACACAATCAGCGCCTTACTCTCAATTAGGCAAGTATCTTTATTATAATTAAGTGGCACTCGCTTTGTTGGTCATCCATCCATGTTTTGTGTTTATTTTTTAACCTCGGTTTGACACAGTAAGCAGACAATTGTTCATTCACAAGTGTTTCTGACTTTTTCCACCCCATTTGCATTAGTTTCTCAAATGCCATTCCCGAATATGATGAGGAATGATTATTTCTGTTTGGCAGAAAAGGGATAAGTTCTTCCCTTTTGGGGTTTTAAAGGGAAACCTGAAGTGGTCTTTTAATCAAATTCAGAGCTGAGTCTTATAGCAATAAAAGAAAAGACTCCAGGTCACTGAGGCATAAGAGCATGTACAAGACTTTAAGTGCATGATTAGCAGCTACCTTTACCTTTGAAGGTCACTGGATTACTTGTGCACTTAAAATGAGACCTGCAATTTCCTGAAATCAGGACTCCAGGCCTGCTTAGCAGAGGTGCTGAAGACCTTCAGTTCCTTTTGATTGCTAGGGGAGAAATGACAGGTCAAGAGCATGTAAAATCAGACCCTCTGATTCCTTTGGGGAAAAAGCAAATGACTTTCCAATGACCCAGCAATGCAACCGGCACGGGCTTGCTGCGGGTAGGCCTTTCCTGACCAGTCTCTTCTCCTTCTACGACCAGGTGACCTATCACCTGGACAGGGGAGAAGAGATTGATGTCATATACCTGGACTTCAGAAAAGCCCTTGATCTGGTGTCCCATGATCTCCTCATGGAAAAACTGGCCAACGCGGCCTCAGCTACATCACAGTCCACTGGCTGGGGAATTGGCTCCAAGGTCGGACCCAGACAGTCGACAGAAGTGAATCATCCTGGCACTCTGCGACCAGTGGGGTCCCCCAAGGCTCCATCCTTGGACCTGTTCTCTTCAACGTCTTTATTAACGATGTGGACATCGGTGTTAGAAGCAGACTGGCCAAGTTTGCTGATGACACCAAACTTTCGGGTAGAGCGTCCACACCTGAGGATAGGCTGGTGAGCCAGGCTGACCTAGACGAGCTCATAAAATGTGCAGATGAAAACCTGATGGCATTCAACACCGAAAAGTGCAAGGTACCCCACCTTGGGAAAAAAACCCTGCATCACATTTATAGGCTCGGCAGCGCTACGCTTGCTAGCACCATGGCCAAAAGGCACTTGGGGGCTATGACTGACCACAAGATGAATATGAGCCACCAATGGTGATAAAGCAAACAAAACTCTGGCTTGCATCCATAGATGCTTCTCAAGCAAATCCCAGGATGTCATCCTCCCGCTGTACTCAGCCTTGGTGAGGCCGCAGCTGGAGTACTGCGTCCAGTTTTGGGCTCCACAATTCAAAAAGGATGTGGAGAAGCTTGAGAGAGTCCAGAGAAGAGCCACGCGCATGATCAGAGGTCAGGAAAACACCTTACGATGAGAGGCTGAGAGCCATGGGACTCTTCAGCCTGGAAAAGCGCAGGCTCAAGTGGGACTTGGTGGCTGCCTGTAAGTACCTCAGGGGTGTGCATCAGGATCTGGGGGAACGCCTGTTCACCAGAGTGCCCCAAGGGACGACTAGGTCCAGTGGTCACAAGCTCCTCCAAGACTGTTTCAGGCTGAACATAAGGAAAAACTTCTTTACTGCCTGAGCCCCAAGGCCTGGAACAGACTGCCGCCAGAGGTGGTGCAAGCACCTACTCTAGACACTGTTAAGAAACATTTGGATGCTCATCTTGTTGGGATCCTTTGACCCCAGCTGACTTCCTGCCCCTGGGGCAGGGGGCTGGACTCGATGATCTTCCAAGGTCCCTTCCAGCCCTAATGTCTGTGAAATCTATGACACTTAGGTTCACCAAACCATTCACACACCATGCAATGTAATGTGCACTTCATTTACAGTGCAGGTTCATCTGGAGTCTGTGTCTGCAGTGAATGGAAACATTTGTGAGCAGAAAAGTATTTCTGAATGCCTTGTTTTAATAAATACCAATCTTCCTGTTTTTCTCCCTGCACGCCTTTCCTTTGGGATGACAACAGTTGACATTAAAAAACTGGTGGCAGGTATGGAACTGCTTGCATTGAGTTATAAACCCAGGGAGCCTGAGTGCATGTGAACTGGCCTGTGAAACCATTCAATAAATCAGTGTGGAAATTTCACGCGAGTCATTTGTTTTCAAGCAGTGTTTGCCATTGCAGGTGCAAGAATCTGTTGTGGATGTGTCAGCTAGTTCACATTTCCACCACATTAAGTGCACAAAAGACCACGGGAAAACAATCACCTGTGAAACCTGGATAGTGGCTCGTGAAATGCTGTTACTCTGTGTGTACATTGTCAAGAAAGTGATGTTCTCTGTCAGGTTTCCTGGACGCAAGTCACAGTGCATTTAAATCAGCCATCCTGTTGGGTCTCAGAGATGCTCAAGCATTTCCCAGACTTTGCAAAAGCTAGCTTGTGTTTTAAATATTTTATATATGTATATGCATACGTATATATGGTTGCTTGCTCTTCAGGGAGGTTTCGGGGTGGTACTTAACACATCTGTAAATGTAAATCTGTTATGTGCTCTTGATTTCTAGAACCACGAGCTCTCAAATGCACACACAGTTTACCTGCTAATCTTTTAAGCCCCTTTCCCACATTGGGCCTGATCTTACAAACTTTTACTCTCATGAATAAAACTTTAGTCGTCAGAGTAAGTATGACTTAATATTTTCGTTCTGCTAGAACCAAGAGGCCCAGGCAAGGCTAGGGGCCATTTTGCTAAGAGCCAAAATGGTGAGGGAGCACCTCTGCCCTAAAGAGTCCTCTAAACAGAAGAGCAAGAGGGAGAGAAGGTACTCAGAAAAGTGACGTGACTTCCCTGAGGAAGGTCAAGGGCAGGAGCAGCACCCAGGTCTCCTGAGTCCCAGTTTTGGCCCCACAGCTGCCAGACCATGGCAGTCACCCCCTCTCACAGGCTAGTTTGCAAGGTCTGGCATTACTCAGCTGGGTCGAGGTGCCGGTGACCCCCATTAGTGACTCCAACCCTCCACAGATTGCTTTACTAGCTCCTGCGGGAAGTTCTGCAGAAGCAGCCCCACCTCTCTTTGGACACTTCTCGGCGTCCACTACTGAACATCCTTCCTGCATGGTGGCATGCAATGTTTCTTGTCAGGTCTGCGTGCCTTTGCAGTTGGATTGAGGTCTTCCTGTCATACTAACCAGCTATCCTTGTGTATTCCAGTAGCTTGGTTCTCCTTCGACCCTTCCTCCGCACACACGGACATCATCTTTTCCAACGACAACCTGACCATCACCTGTAACAGCTACGATGACAGGGTCGTGCTGGGGAAAACGGGCTTCTCCAAAGGGCTCCATTACTGGGAGCTGTCGATCGATCGTTACGATAACCACCCGGACCCGGCCTTCGGCGTAGCCCGCGTCGACGTCCTCAAGGATGTCATGCTGGGAAAGGATGACAAGGCCTGGGCGATGTATGTGGACAACAACCGGAGCTGGTTTATGCACAACAATTCGCACACCAACAGGTAGGCCACTGGGGATAAGTGTCTTTCTCTGAGACTAAGGCCTCGATTTAGTCCTGATGTATGCAACTGCACCACTGTCCAGGGCTGCTGTATCCAATTTGCTCTCAAGTCTGACGTGCAGTACT